GAAATACATGCCGACATTACATTGATGAATTGGAGCTAGTTCTGTGTCACCATAGGTTATAACTGTTACATGATGAATGTCAGCCAACATAAGTATCCATCACTGATCCAATGCCTACGACTTTCGCATATTGATCTTGCTAAGTTATTGTTGTTTCTCTTACAATCACTATAAAACTGCTGCCACTATTGTTACCATTACCATTGCTATCAAACTATCATGCTATTGTGCTACTGATCACTCTGCTGCAGATATTTAGTTCTCCGGGTGTGGTTGAATTGACAACTCAACTATCAATACTTACAGATATTATTTGGCTCCCCTGACATCGAATAAATAAATTTGGGTTGAATACTCTGCCCTCGAAAACTGTTGCGATCCCCTATACTTGTGGGTTATCATGGAGAGGGCGAGAGAGAGGAGTGAGGCTAGGGTTCATCGACTGGGATTTTGGTGGGGATAGGTGGGGGCGGCGCGGGGCATAACAGGCTAGGCCCACGTGGCGGGCAAGCCCAAGCGTGTCCGGATGTCCCCATATCCGTTCCAGATTTGGGCCAGATAAGGGGAGTGTCGGTCAGTCCGGGCATTTGAACCGGCTATTGGTAGCCCGGTTGGATGGCCAAACATCAGGGCACTAGTCGGGCAACTCGTCCGGGCATTTGAGTCGGGTATGGGGCTCCGGTTGCATCTACAACTAGACTGGGCTAATTTGATGGTCGAGGAAGAAGGGGATCGAGCGAGGGAGGGGGCGCATGACCTGAAGCTGCAAGCAAACCAATGTGTTGCTGCTACTAGTTTGGTCGTTGACAATCTTGTGCAGTATGTGTTGTCACTGTGAGTCGCAACATGATAATGTTATCGGTGAATCATGGCCTTCCACTATGTGTGCTTGCAGTATGTGTAAAAGTAGGATCCACCCTTGCATAAAAGTGTGTTCCTTCAAAAAATCTATGGCACCAGCCGAGCAATGGAGGGGACCGGTGTCAAATGAAGCAAAAATGAATCTGACACCGCTTTTGGCTTGCGTAGTGAAGGATGGGGATCTACAACTGGATTGCGCTAATTTCAGTACAGTACGTCCACCGATGTGTCATGGCGCAGTCAACGCGTGTTCGTTTTAAGCCATCATTTATATATGTATACAGTCGTGCTTCACACTTTGTCCTCAAATTATCCGTATGTGATTGGTGTACATGAACAGAGAGAAGAAACAATAAAGATTGCACTTTAGCTATATGTAAGCCGCGTGGAAATTAGTTTTCTATCCGTTGATTTTTGGGGACACGTATAAATTATGAACCAATTAGTACCAAATCTCAATCTAAACCGATGCCTTTATTTCCAAAATAGCAACTACATCTATTGTGTGCTATTTTTTCCAATCTACACATCAAACTATCATCTTAGGTATAATCCAGATGTTGCCTTTGAAACGTAGCTGGTCAATTTGACTTCAACTTGAGAACACCGATGAATTTTTTTTCTCAGTGGATGCCCGCTTCTTTGTTTGGCGACGCACGCACACATCAGCCTGAACCAGCACCGCTAGGAGCCAACTAATGCTCAAACTGCACCACACCAATGCAATTCCTACAAAGGCCTCCCTCCTCGTCCATCGGCTCCCGTAGTTGTCCCTATAACTCACCATTGCGCTAGTCGAGTTGTGGTCGAGCTCTCCATGGGCTCCGTTGTGGGACTCCAGAGGCGGCTGGCGTGTTGTGGGACTCCGTGTTGCCATCCATGGCCACAACAGCGGCCACCTCAAGCATCAGGAGATCCACGACGACTCGGGAAGGGAGACGGGCGACATGTTCCAACACAACAATTCGAGTTTAATGGCAGGGTGGTCCGGCCATGGACACGGACTCGTTGCTCCCCACCACCACGCGGCTGCCCCTCCACCCGCTGTCGGAGCACACGCTGATTTCCAACTCCAACACGCCACCCTCCTCGCGCTGCCTGTCCCCGGCATCTTCCTAGAAGGACCGCCTCATCTTCGGTCCCCACCACCCATCGTCGCCGCCCTTTCCTCCTCCCCCGTCGCTGCCGCACCACTACTGCCGCGACTTCAATCCAAATAAGAGGCACGGGAGCAGTGTCGGAGGAAAAGGGCGGCGGCGCGGATGGCGGAGGGGGTGTAGGCAAAGGGCGGCGACACGGACGACTGTGGTGGTAGAGGCAAAGGGCGGCGCGCGTACGGCGACGCGAACGACAGTGGGAGCGTTGGCAAAGGGCAACGGTGTGCGCGTGTTTGTGCTACTGGATAAGATAAACAAAGGAGCGCGGGCGGAATTCTTATAAAATGCAAGGGGTTAATTTGCAAAACCGAGTCATTATCCCAGATCCACTTAAACAGGGACCGCGAGTTCAATTATCAAAAACCACAAGGACTTTTGTGCAAAAATGTCACGACGGTGGACAGAAGCAATATGTGCTTTATTATTAAGTAAAAGATAAAGATTAGGTAATAGATTTATAAACATCATGTAAAATCACTTTTATGAAAAGGTTTTCTAGGTAAGCTGTTGCAGTTGCTCTAAGTTCCTCTTCTAGGATGAATGAAAACTTGTACAACTAGGAAGAAAATGGGTTGCATGCTTGCACATGTTACTTTATTTTTACCAGCACATCGGCGTTATCCACGCCGACGTTGCCACATGGCAGCAGCACGCATGGACACGCATCCCTATAACACGCAGAGTGTCATCGCCCATCCCCGACGAATATTCGTCGCGCAGCAGGCCACCCCGCTCCGCTCCCGCGACCCCGGACTCCAACTGCGCGCGGTGCAATCCGGTTTTTTTTTCAGGCCTCAGTCCCGCCGTTTGCACCACGTCTCCTTCCTACACACGGTCCGTGGACCGCACGGGCAGAGCGCCATCCCCAGCCGCAGCCAGGGTCAGCGGTCCATGGACCACGTCCACGCGACTGCACAACTGTCCCCCCGCGCCTGACGGCCGTCTCCCCGCGCCCCCACCGCTTTGTCCTGACCGACGCGCGGCCCCGTACCAGACCGCTTACCTCACCACCCTCCCTTCTCACTGACAGAAGGGCCCGGCATCGGGATAGCAGTTCCTGTCCTAGCCGTCAGTGACCTCGTGGGACGTGGCCGGCGGGTAGGCCGTCGGCTCGCAGGGTTTATCTACCGAACGGCGGAGCACGGGGGCCGATACTTTTTATTCCGATATAAAAATCCCCAAATCCCCACACGTCCATCGTTTCCCCCCTTCCCCCACCCCGCCCTCCTCGCGTTCCTCGTGCAGAACCCCGAGGCCTCGGCAGCCATGGCCACCGGCGGCGACCGCGCGGCGGAGGAGCTCGTGTCCGTCGAGATGCCCGCGCCCGAGGGATGGACCAAGAAGGTACCCGCCGCCCTGGCTCGGCGTCGCCTCGTCGAGCTGCTTTTACCTTACCTACCGGCTAACACCCAGGGCGCTTGTACTTTGTTCCGTTGCTGTGCTTCGAATTGCGTCGAATTGGGCGGTCTAAGTCGGAATTGGCGAGTGTCGGGGCCCCGGGCCGCGGGGACGCGGGCGGCGGGGCGCGAATTCGAGCTGGATTCGTGGGTTCCGGGGTCTAGGGTTCTAACAGATTTAGGGGTCAGATTCTAGGGTTTGGGCGCCTCCGGTTTGGTGAGGTACCACTGCCGCGATTGGACTAGTGCTATGGCTCGCTGGCCAGCGCTCGTGGTGGTATCTCGGCCTTACCGGAGCCCCTCCCCGGGCTAGATTGGAGCTGCGGGTCTGTGTGGATGCGCCTGCTGTGAGCTCGGCGAAATGGTTGGTGAACAGTACCGCCCACTTTCCGGTCTGTTGGTGTTGGGCGTCTAGCGTCCCCGGGGTCGATTGGGCTTGCGCCATGGCCCACGGCTGGGTGGTGGGGGCCGATTCCCAAATCTCGATTCTGTTGGTAACATGGTTTGGCTATGTGGTCTGGCCTGGCTAGGAAAACGGGAAATTGGATTCTGGTCCAGTTTGCCTGGGCATGGAACTGTGCTGCACTTTGTGGGATGGGAGTAAGTAGCCGTCTGGCTTCAAGTGTACCCATTTCAATTCCATGCTCATCTGTTTGTACGTTTTAGTTGGTTGAGTTTACCTGGAGAACTGTGTTGCATTTGCAGTTTTGTGCTGTTGCTTTTAGTTGGATTCAGTGTCCCGATTTTAACCTGTAGTTGATTCGAGGCGATTTTGGCGAACCTGGTTACACTCTGTTTTTTTTTCTTATTTTGCTGTAGTTAGACATGGCACTTTGTCAGGACAAATTGCTTCAACTGAGTCAGTACACGCTTTTGCAAACACGATGTTGGCACAACAGGCCGCTGTGGTATGCCATGTCAATTGGAGTTTCTCCTGTTTGCTGGGAATGTTATTTGAGTGCTTTGTCCATTGGCTTTTTCATGGCCTTTCTGATTTTCTAGGGTTGCACCAGAAAGTCTCAACAGGGTATATATGTCTTAGTTCATTAGCGGATGTGTTTATGGCGGACAGACTCCCCAAGCTTCCGAACTGAGGATGTTTTTATGGCGGTTAGACTCCCCAAGCTTCTGAACTTATGCACTTGTTAGCTCATTGGCGGATGTGTTTATAGCGGTTAGACTCCCCAAGCTTCCTAATTGAGGGGCTTGTTAGCTCATTGGCGGATGTGTTTATGGTGGTTAGACTCCCCAAGCTTATGTACCGAGCAACTTCTAGCTCATTAGCGGATGTGTTTATGGCGGTTGAGCTCCCTAGCCTTTCTACTGGATCACGATAGCACCCAGGATCTATTAAATAGCGTAGGCGGTGATTTGGTTGTTTCTGTATTGTTTCTATTTATGATGGATAATAACGACAATTGGTATATTTATCCACCGGATAATAACGACAATTGGTTGTTTCTGTATTGTTTCTATTTATGAATTATGATAGATAATAACAACAATTGGTATATTTATCCACTGGATAATAACGACAATTGGTATAATTTTCTGCTGGATAATAAGGACAGATGTTAAGGTTTTGTGTGGTTCAATGAAAAAAGTTGGTTGTGACTAGAATCTTCATAACTCTTTACGTTGTCATAGTTAATTTGTCGAATAGGGTAAGGAGTTACTTTTTCTTATTATAGGTTTGCTTGTACCTACCTTTTCATAATACGATTGGACCGTGTCACTATATTTTGGATGAGGCATAATCTCTTTGTAGCATAAGGATTGGCTACGTGGTATGGCTTGCAGTCGTGTTGGATATATCATATATTGCCAAATTTGTGTTGAAAGGTGATTTTTTTTTTGTTCTAGCTCTAAAAGAGCCTAGTTGTCAAGTATTTTTATTATTGTAATTTATGATGTTTGGTTCCAATCATTTGTAACTTCGTAAGTTAAAGATTCTTGATTTGAGATGGATAAGATGATTTCACATTAGATTCAGTTAGATTCAGGCCCTTCTGTTTGAAATTAAACGAACATTCATATATATTTTTTAGCATATGTGTGGTGTTTCTGTTTGTTCACTTTCTTGAGAAGGTTGTGTGATTGCGCTCCAAAAATATAGACATTGTGTTTGGAATGTGTGCACTTAAGACTCTTCTATGAAATATGTGGTGCTGACTGTATGAGCTAAGTGACAATAGTTCTTAGATTGAACTGAAGCATTCTTGCAAATTCAGAAGATAATTCCTTATGCGTCTCGCCTTTGCTATGTCGAACAAGATTGATTTAGTAGCAAACCTTATGGGTGAGAGATGATTCGTTTTCATACACTTCTGGAGATAGTCTGTTAATGTCACATCATGGAAGTTCAATATCACCTCTGAAATTAGGTCCACAGACCAAAGACTAGAAGTAGGTTAAATTTATGTAACTCTACATCGTTCGCTTGCATAGGTAAACCATAGTTCATGTAACCAATTCTGGAGATATACATAAATAATCCCTAGTATGAATAGTTTTTGAATGTTTTTCCTTTCCGGTGGTGTTTGTTCAACTGAATTATATTCCTGAAATGTTTTTCTTACTGTGCATCTAATCACTTAAGAAGAAGTGTTAGGAAATAGCTGTGTGCTGTTTTTTGGTTGTACTCCCTCTGTCCGGAATTATTTGTAATCAAAATGGATGAAAATGGATGCATCTAGAACTAAAATACATCTAGATACATCCATTTCAATGACAAGTATTTTCGGACGGAGGGAGTAATATATAAGTATCTGGTATATTAATTTCTCTCTTTTTTTGGGGAAGATTTGAGATTATTATCTTTTATCCTCTTGAATCTTCTATGTAGTAATGTAATTCCTGTTGGTCAACACTCAACAGCTACCACATAAGTTACTGGTGAATAATGGCTTGCAGTGGTGAATAATCAATTAAAACTTGAGAGAGAAGGGTGAACCTAGAGTTGAGACTCCTCCTTGCTTGTTTTATTGTTTATCAGTGGGAACAATGCTTGATAATACATCTGACATTATTTAAATTAGGCTAGAGTTGAGATTTTGCCTCTCTTGGTTTGTTGTGTATTAGTGGGAATATCATATGGGATAGCAAAAATAAACAGCAGTGCTTGAATAGTTCTAGCCATGCAACATTATCTGACATTATTAAGGGAGCCTAAAGTCCTAAACACAGGACGGTTGCCTTCACTCATATATTGTTAGTCTATCACTAAACTTTAAGCAGTACACAGATTTGTTCTGTCTGCGCTTTCTAATTTCCAACATGTTTTGTTGGGTGTGAATTTGCTTCCAGTGTTAGAAATATGTATTTTTTTAAGCATGTATTTCATACACTTAACGTGTCCATTACCAATATTCTCTATTCGGCGGCATCAACTAACATCTCCTCTTTCCTAATATTGCAGTTTACTCCCCAGAGCAGGGGAAGATCTGAGATTGTTTTTGTCTCACCAACTGGAGAGGAAATTAAGAACAAGAGGCAGCTGAACAGCTATCTGAAGGCAAACCCTGGAGGCCCCACTTCATCGGAGTTTGACTGGTCAACTGGTAGACGCCTTTCCCCCTTGTGTTCTTTCATCATGTCTCTAGATAACTCTGGCTGTAGGGAGCCCATGGTTGCACAAATCTAATCGGATCATCTAAATGCTTTACAAACAGGTGATACCCCAAGGCGTTCTGCTCGGATTAGCGAGAAAGTGAAGGTATTTGATAGCCCTGAGGGTGAAAAGATACCAAAGCGTAGTAGGAACTCAAGTGGAAGAAAGGGGAAGCAAGAGAAAAAGGAGGATCCTGAAACTGAAGAAGACAGAGAAGCTGAAGCTGGCAAGGAGGTCCCTAGTGAAGATGTTGCAAAGAGCACCGATGTGGAGATGACGGTTGCTGAGGCGATTGATGCTGCTGCCAAGAGCACTGATGTGGAGATGAAGCCTGCCGAGGCGAATGATGCTGCAAAAAACGCAGATGTGGAGATGAAAGTTGCTGAAGAGGTGAAAGCTGCTCCTAGTGAAGATGCAGGGAAGACTGAAGACTCCACTCCAGCACCTGCAGAACACAAGGAAGATGTCAAACCAGCTGAGTCTGATGCCGCTCCGGCACTAGCGGCGGAGGACAAGAAGGAAGATGTCAAACCAGCTGAGACTGATGCCCCTCCAGCACCAACAGTGGAGGACAAGAAGGAAGATGTCAAGCCAGCTGAGGCCGATGCCCCTCCGGCACCAGCGGTTGAAGACAAGGAAGACGCTAAGCCAGCTGAGGCTGATGCCCCTCCGGCACCAGCGGTTGAAGACAAGGAAGATGCTAAGCCAGCTGAGGCTGATGCCCCACCGGCACCAGCGGTTGAAGACAAGGAAGACGCTAAGCCAGCTGAGGCTGATGCCCCTCCGGCACCAGTGGTTGAAGACAAGGAAGACCCTAAGCCAGCTGAGGCTGATGCTGCTCCGGCACCAGCGGTGGAAGACAAGAAGGAAGATGTCAAGCCATCTGAGGCTGATGCCGCTCCTCTGGTGAGTTCGGAGGAGGTGAAGACAGAGGAAGCTCCTCCGGTGAGTTTGGAGGGGGCGAAGACAGAGGAAGTAGACCCTCCAGCGAGCAAGCCAACTGAGAACTCAGTTGCTGCTCCCAGCGAGCCTGCTATTGCTCCTGCTCCTGCTGCAGTATCTGAAACCAAATCAGATGCCGCCGCCGTAGACAGCCAACCTGGCGCGGCCACCAATGAGTCGCCGTCCGCCGTCAACAATGGGCAGCTGTCGCCTGGCGCCTCGACGGTGAAGTGCACCTGAAGCAGCTGCCCCCCTCCTCCGCGCCGCCGTCTCCTAGGATCATTCAACATTCGCATTGTAATCAATCAGCCTCTGGTAAGCATGTTAATTTAGCCAGTCTGACGGTACCGGATGATGAGAACCGGTAAAGTAGGCTCTGCATTTAGTTACATTTTGTATGGCCGGCGTTCGTCACCGTGCCCGGCGCGACATACATGTACCCCACCCCACCCGACCCCACCATATCGTCTGTTTGTCTAACTTGTTAATGTTAGGGACATATATACCGTTGTCTGTTTGTCTGTGTCTGTGTTTATCATGTACCCGTGGTGTATTGTGTTGTTAGACCTGAAATACCCTCTGTATGTTGCTGTTTATCCCCAATGAATAATGATGAGGGTTTCTGTTTATCCTCCCTGGAACAGTTCATTCATCAGGCATTCTGAATTGAATTCTCTCAAGCTGCCAGTTTTTTATGGTGTATGTAGTTTTTTTTAGACTGTATAAGGTGTGTATGTAGTTTAAGTAGATGGTTTGGTGATGTGCCAATTTGATGGTGCATGTAGTTTTTTGACTGCTTCTCTCCGGCTGGCTCGCCCTCATCACCAAAACATTAGTGATTTAGAATGCGACCGATTTTCTGGATACCCACGAATAATATTTGCAGTGAAGTATAAACAACTATACATACACTTTGCTTTACATCTCGAGAGTTTCGGAACAAAAGAAGAAAAAAAAATCACGTTTGGCTGGGCGAGGGGGCTGCCGGCGGCGTGCGGCAGACGGGGCAGCTGGGGCGGAGGCGCAGCCACTGGTCGACGCACGGCCGGTGGAACGAGTGCGCGCAGTCCGGCAGCACCCGCAGCACGTCTCCCCGGTCGTACTCCCCCAGGCACACCGCGCAGCTCGTGGACGACGAGGACGACGACGCCTCCCCGGCCCCGCCGCGCACCACCACCTTGGGCAGCGCGCTGATCGCGGCCTCGTCCATCCCGGCCTGCATCTCGACGTCGCCGGCTGCGGCGGCGGCCTCCTCCGCGCCGGGGGGCGGCGGCATCGGCACGGGCGTGGCCTCCCGCGAGCACGTGTGGAGGAAGTAGGCAATGGCGACGATGACCGCGACGCTGATGGCGGCGAAGGCGATCTCCAGCGCCGCCATTTCACATGCCCCCGCCCCCAGGCCCCGGCGTCCGTCCTCGTCCGGGCTCCGGCGACGGCGAGGGAGGTGAGCTGAGCCGTGGCCCGCCGCGCGCGCGCCAGGCAAAGTCAACGCCCGCCTACCTATCTCCGCATCAATCAACTAAAAAGTATGGAGGATGATAAGCTATCTGATCGGATGGGATGTGTTTATCTTTCGTGGAATCATCAGGTGGTGGTGGTGGTGGCGATGTGATCCAATCTGTTCTGGTCAACGCCTGCTTACCATTCGAGGAACTCGGCTTCTCTTCTTCCTCCTCTTTCTTTATTCTGGAATGGAAACGGCTCGCGGTCGCCTCAGGGGCCGCGGTCGCGTGGGGGCACGCCGCCGGCGGTCAACTCCGGCCTGCTGACCGATCGAGCTCAGACGTGTTGAGCAGGGTGTGCTAAAACAGAGCGACGACGTGGATGAGATGCTGAGAAAACCAGCGATATTTTATTTTACCACAAATAATTTTGCTAGGTATGCACGCTAGATAGAGACCACCCTAGTAGTAAAAGGCTGGCTTTTGTGGATAAGGAGGGGAACCATGAAAAAGGAAATGAGGTGCCATCGAAAGTTGCATGTAGCGGGGATGAATAGAGCAGTTTGGTAAGCTCACCAGGCTCATAACCTTGAGGTCACGGGTTCGATTTTCCTCACCCCTAATGTTCTCATCGTACCCATGCTCCATCAGCCCTGCGTCCTAGGGTTGCACCAAATATGGGAACCCAAAGCACCCAATGATGGCCCTAATCTTATCAACGACCAGATATGTCGTGGTAGGTGGAGCGCAGTCTCACGGGGAAGATCTCCGCGTGCGCGATAATTGTAGTGGAGTTCGGCCAGAAGTTGGCGAAGAAGAATGTCATCCCGTAGAGCACAACGAAGCCGATGTGGGTCCTCAACGTGGTCTGGTGGTGGTAAGAGACGGCAAGGCCAAGCATGAACATGGCCATTGAGAACAATTCGTCCAGTTGGATCTAGAAGTGCTCGATACATTCGATCAACATCACCACGAACACCACCCAAAAATTCTGTCGCAGCGGACGATGAGGGTTTGCAGGTGGGTGATGTGCTGGATTTCTTACAAGGTACTCATGGTCCTAGTTCTTGGAGACCCATTCGATCACCCTGTGGATATCTTTCTGGAAGAGGTTTTGGGAGTATAAGGCGATGGCGAGGAGGTAGAGCCAGTGGCGGCCTAGGAATTAGTTAGAGAAGAGGTCGAATGAGTTTGAGTTGCTGTCTTTGGTGGTCACGTGGTTGACATCGATGGCAATGTCGACCTAGAGAACCTAGGACATGTCATCGTCGGCTTTCTTTCTCTCGGCGATAAGTGTCGTGTAGCGGGACGTCTTGGGTATCTTCATCCGCTATTAACAGGTGAGCAGGGCTGAGACGAAGCCAAACATGAGAATGAGGGTGCCAAATGTAGTCGGCTTGCACGGGCGTTGTCCCCGGGGGTTGGTGTGTG